CTGGCCAGAGGGACATTCCATACCATGGGACGTCATGCTCAGTACATAAACTGGGGAAAGCTGGCTGGGGGGGGCCGCTGCTCGGGGACTGGCTGGGCATCGGTCAACATTGTTCTCATACTAAATCCAAAACACAGCACTGTACCAGCTACCAGGAAGAAAATTAACTCTATCCCAATGCAGAGCAAGAGCCCAGGAGACACCATAAAGCCAGTGCATCTCCACGAGAACTGCAGCACGACCTCCCCCGCGTGAACCAGGGATCCCACTCTGGTTTAGGGCTTCGCACTTGGAAAGGATACAGGCTTCCCCAGCTAGGAGCCCAGACAGGTTACTCAAGAGAGAAGAGCCGGGGATAAACCATGCTATGCAGAGCATAAACCATGGCACCAGCACCACTGGAACTCTAACGCCAAAAAACAGCGTCCTCTTCATCCGCGAGCGGGTGGTGGACACACCCAACGTAGCAAAAGCTACTGGCATGAATCCTTTGGCATCTTCCACCTCTGACACCCTCGAGACAACGGTCTCGAGTAAGAGGTACAGGAGGGCAGAGAGGACGGCAAACGCCATGGTGAGGAAGCAGTGCTTCACAGTGCCAACGTTCTTCTCAAAGCTGCCGGCAAAATACCAGATGATAACGGCACCGCAGGTCAAGGATATCAGGTCTTCGTAGACAAAGATGTAGGTAACCAACCTGTGAACTGAGCACACCAGCACGTCAGAAAGGCAGGGGCAGCAACGAATCTGTTTTAAACCACTACAGTGACATGCTTGAGCAGAGGGAGAGTGAGCCTACAGGATCAATTAATAGCTTTCATTTCTATCCTGGTGTAGAAGGGAAGGAACTTGAGGCCTTTAAAACCAGGCGTAAATAACCAAATCGAGTTAAAACAAGTGCTATCTTGGGTATCGCAGACATATGGGCTGACTCTTGCTGCTTCCTGGGAAGCTGCCTGGAAAAAAGCAACAGAATCTGTAGTAAATTTCAGTCTCATTAAAAGAGAAGGCAAGAGACATAAAAATGACTGTTACCGTAACTATGATCTTGCTCAAAAGATAAACACTTCTTAAGCTGCTAGAAGGCTGATTTTTCTCACAAAAAATGCCCGGAGGTTAACAGACCTCAGAAGTGCCCCCAGGCCCTCCGGTTAGCCGTTCTCCCGGGCCCTCAGTGAGGACTGAGGCAAAGAGTTCTCCGCCTCCCTCCCATCAACCTCAGACCTACAGCAAGAAACACAGCAGTTGAGAGCATAAGCCGGTGCAACCTGACTGCCCCCCTGGAGACACGTGAGGAGGTGGCTGAATTCACCCATCAGCTCAGAGCACTGCACTGCTAAAAGAAATCGCTGCACGCTGGCGAGAGCGTGATAACAATCGTTCTGTGGATACCACAGGGACCGAGGAAAACAAATCTGAGAGCGTGATAACAATCGTTCTGCGGATACCACAGGGACCGAGGAAAACCCCCAAGCTCCAAGCAGCATACCCCCCCCACTCTGCAGTGCAGTGCAGAAACACGGTAATTGAGAGCGTGATAACAATCGTTCTGCGGATACCACAGGGACCGAGGAAAACAAATCCCCCAAGCTCCAAGCAGCATACCCCCCCCACTCTGCAGTGTCAAGGGCCGGAGACGGGGGCCGAGGGGGGAGCAGCCTGATATAGGGGGGCCGAGATGGATGCCCAGCAGGCTCGGTGCAGGCCAGGGGACGTGCCTAAAGGGGAGGGGGGGAAGGGGCACAGTGCGGGTCGTGGGGAAGGCCCAGGGAGGCGGGCCACGGAGGGAGCAGCAGGCTCGGCGAGGGACCCGGGGAAGTGCCCAGAAGTGGGGGC